GAAATATTGTTATTTTTTCTGAGTGTTTTATTTCGGAGCTTTGATCCGGGTCCTTGAACGCATCTCGGGCGGATCTTTCTTCAGTTTGAGTCGCGCGCCGGAGCGGTGAACATCAAAGCACTTCAGCTGATTATCCAGGTTTCCCGCGGTGACTGTCAGCTCGCGCAGAGAGAAGTTTGGATGGATTAAAGGAGGAAGAGGAGGTGAGTGAAGAGCCATGATGATGATGATGATGATGAAGGCAGCTGGTGGGAAAGTGAACATCTGTTTGACCTTTGACCTCAAACCAACTTTACCAGAAGAAAAACAAAGATCTGGAGCCGCGCGGCGGGAAAGGTTAGATTTATTGATCTGTTTTCCTCCTGAGCAGCTCGGTCCCTGAACGCACCACCAGCTGCAGGAAGTTGATCATTGTTTCACATTCTACTTCCTGTCAGACAGAATGAAGCTGGTCCGGTTCAGTTCTGAGACCCGGTCCAGTTTTTACACTTTAGTAAGGTTTCTTCAAGGTTCTGATGATGAGGAGGAGTCCAGGTGATGAAGAGTTCAGCTGTTTGTGGTGAGGGGTCCAACAGAACCGGGTCAGAGCAGGTGGGCCTGTCCAGAACCTGTCCCCTCTTTCTCAGATACTCATGTCCTGAAAAAGATGTGGACCCTGAAGACATCAGGACCAGAACCATCACAGAACTGAGCTGTTGGACCTGAGGGGACAGCAGGATGGGCTCGGTTCTGTGGGTCCATGGGTCTCCCACATGGACTGCCGGACCCAAAGTTTCCCCGCTGTCCCTGGTCCCGGGTTCTTCCCATGATGCACCTGGTTCTGAGTCGTTCCCAGAGGAGACAGAAGTGGACCGGACCCTCGACTCTACCACTGCCCCCTGGTTCAGTTCTGCTGGTTCTGATGGATCTCTGACCCAGCAGAACTTTGCCCCAGGAATCAATTGTTCCAGCTCTTATTCTGAAAATCTGTCTTCCTGTTTGTCCTCAGGTATGGCGTGTGTGTGGCTGGTGTGTGCGTGTGCACTGAGCGTGTGYGTCAGAGCTGACAGCGGATTGGACAGAAGAGACCACGCCCACTCACAGCATCAGCAGCCTAAYGGCCGCGCAGAGTCAGGTGATCAAAACATCCTCCATTAAATCCTTTCAATTCAAGATGGCCGCCAGCGCTAATAGACAGGAAGTGGATCCATACCTGAGACTGGACCAGAACCCTGTGGGTCCGGTCTTGTAGAAACTGTTTACCCTGATATTTGACTGACAGTTTGATGGTTCTGGTTCTGGTTCTGGTTCTGCAGACCTGTGTCACATCGACCCGCCCCTCTGCCACGATGAAAACTCCCTCCTGAGCTTCGAGGCGATCCGCAGCGTCCACAGACTGATGGATGAGGACGAGGACGGGATGGTGGACTCTGAGGAGACGGACGAGGTGGGACAGAGACAGAACCTGAAGGTCAGAGTCTGATGTGAGGAAGCTGAGCTCCCTCCTCTTCCTCAGTTTCTCAGGGAGGACCTGAAGGATCCAGACCCAAGAACCAAACCCAGCAGCTTCCACCGGGCCGACCCTCAGATCAGCCTGGAGGACATGTGGACCACCTGGAAGAGCTCTGAAGGTGGGCAGCAGCTGTATGTGTGTAATGTACCCCCATACCATGAGAGAGGCAGGCTTTAGCACAGTGTGCAGAGGATAGACTGGTTCTGATGAAAAAAAGGACACGATGATTATGTTTGTAAACAGTTCATAAGACTGATCAGATAAGGGTTCTAAAACTGAGACACAAGTTTCTAAAGAGGTGTGGCCTACCAATCCAAAGAGGTGTGGCCTACCAATCCAAAGAGGCGTGGCCTACCAGTCCAAAGAGGCGTGGCCTACCAATCCAAAGAGGCGTGGCCTACCAATGCAAAGAGACGTCTACCAATTCAAAGAGTTGTGGCCTACCAATCCAAAGAGACGTGGCCTACCAATCCAAAGAGGCGTGGCCTACCAATGCAAAGAGACGTCTACCAATTCAAAGAGTTGTGGCCTACCAATCCAAAGAGTTGTGGCCTACCAATCCAAAGAGGCGTGGCCTACCGATCCAAAGAGGCGTGGCCTACCGCTCCAAAGAGTTGTGGCCTACCAATCCAAAGAGGCACGGCCTACCATCCAAAGAGTTGTGGTCTACCAATCCAAAGAGTTGTGGTCTACCAATCCAAAGAGTTGTGGTCTACCAATCCAAACGGGTGTGGTCTACCAATCCAAAGAGACGTCTTCCAATCCAAAGAGACGTTGTCTACCAATCCAAAGAGTTGTGGCCTACCAATCCAAAGAGTTGTGGTCTACCAATCCAAAGAGTTGTGGTCTACCAATCCAAAGAGTTGTGGTCTACCAATCCAAAGAGTTGTGGTCTACCAATCCAAAGAGGCATGGCCTACCAATCCAAAGAGGCATGGCCTACCAATCCAAAGAGTTGTGGTCTACCAATCCAAAGAGGCATGGCCTACCAATCCAAAGAGGCGTGGCCTACCAATCCAAAGAGTTGTGGTCTACCAATCCAAAGAGATGTGGCCTACCAATCAAAAGAGTTGTGGTCTACCAATCCAAAGAGTTGTGGTCTACCAATCCAAAGAGACGTGGCCTACCAATCCAAAGAGTTGTGGCCTACCAATCCAAAGAGTTGTGGTCTACCAATCCAAAGAGACGTGGTCTACCAATCCAAAGAGACGTGGCCTACCAATCCAAAGAGTTGTGGTCTACCAATCCAAAGAGACGTGGCCTACCAATCCAAAGAGACGTGGCCTACCAATCCAAAGAGTTGTGGTCTACCAATCCAAAGAG